GTAGTGTGTGTGAATCTGAGTGCGAGTGTGTATGGAGAAAGAGTAGAACAAGGAAAAGGAAGTAAACTAGCCCGGCATTCGCCTGGCGTTGGTTGGAAACACCACGGAGAACGGATCAGAACAGCCGGCAGTTAGAATTTTCCTGCAAAGCGTGGCTGAATTCGACCTACCTACATAGATATTTAAAATCTGCCACCGACAGGTCTCTAACCGTATAACCTCCCTCCCGGAGACCAAACTGTGTCAGACAATACCGCCCCCGGTCCCACCTCAGTCATCCTCAGTTGGAGCCTTGGGAACCCGCCAGAGGGCGGCGGCGGCGGTCGCGAAAGCGGACGGTCTCCGCGCGTCGCGTCGCAGCCGTCACCAGGTGCCCGGCGCACGGAAGCAGCGAGATGTCGAAGGGAGGCGGAGCCGGTGGGATGCGCGTGGGTGGGCGAGCGATTAATCGCGGGCTACGTGCGGCAATTACCGCGCCCCTTAGAGGCCCCGCACGACGTCCCCGCCGCCCCCTCGGTGCGTGCCGCCCGCGCTCACGCACGCACCCACGCCCACGCGCCGCCCGCGCCCGCCCTAATTGAGACGAACTGGGAGGAGAAGACACTCCGCTGCGCCGCGCCTCGACCTCCGGTTCTCCTGGCGGCGAGGGGGCCCGAGGGGAAAGGAAGAAGTGATGTGGGGGCGGAGGGGGAAGCGAAACAGGGGGAGGACGCAGTTGCGCGGGAGGGGAGGGTGATTGATTGATTCATACTACTGTCCGGGGGCGTTAACTGCTATGGACATGTCTGCCGTTAATGTAAGGAATTAATTTATTCCGGGAAGTGGTGGTATTCTGCACAAGCTGAATGCTGATATCTGGTGCCGACGCACACGTCAAGTTGTAGGGGATTCCCCCCAGGTATTCGACCCGCAGCGGGGTACCGCTCCAACCAGGATAAGTTCTAAGCTCCTGACTGATCCCCTGGCATGTATGGTAGGGTAGTGCATGCAAGTGTGAATCGCACGTCAAAGGGGTGTGTATAGGACAAGAAGTGGGACGGGAAGATCACGCGCGGTCCGTAGCCCATTTGTTAGGGTACTGTTCCTTTACTCCCCCGGTGTTGATCGAAGAACCCACGAAGAACTACCAATCAGAACATGACTTCTAGGCTGTCCAGGGGACGCCGCGTCGTTCGCAGACGTGTATACCAATCAGAACGGTCGGTCGATAGAATTCTTCTCTACACAATGGCTGAATTCGACGTAGCTTTGAAGGGAAAAGAGGGGTGAGGTGTGGTGTGTAGGGTATGAGTGTGGGCGACGAGAGACGAGAAGTGGAGGTGGTGAGAGGAGGCGAAGTGACGCTGAGACGAAAGGATGAAGAGATGCGTAGAAGCGGCGGCTCAGAGGTGCGAGGAGCCATGAACAAGTTCTGAGGCCAGGGCACGCCACGTGGGGCTGAGCCAGAGGTACCGAAGGAGAGTTTGCGCAACACGGGATTCCGATCACAGTGAAGCAGGAGCAGGGATGCCTAGTGCGGGACGCACGCGCGAAATGAGGAGCGAGGTGCGGGAAGGGGCTGACGGAGATTCTGCTTGCGAGTGCAGGGGTGCTGAGCGTGATGTGAATGGTGGCGCGGGGGTAGGGTCTCCTGAGGTGCGGGGATGGGGGAGGCGCGAGGGTTAAGGAGCCCCAGGCGACACCCGAGGTAGACGCTGGGGAGAGAAGCAGGGAAGACGCTAAGGAGAGAAGGGGCGTTGGCTCGGAAGACGAGGGGCAGAGCATCTTTGAGATGATTGGGGAGGAGCCTAACGTTTCTGGGTGGATTATTTTGTAACGGGGGATGATGCTCCCTTAATTGTGTTAGAAGAGACACGTACCACATCAAATCCAGAACAAATACTTCAGTTGTAAGTTAACAAATTCACTCACAAAATTAAAGTTGAGGGTGAAAATATGACCGGTAAGAAATTGATAATTTAAAATGTCAACTTGTATGATTTATTGTTTGATGTTACGTACAATGTAAAATATATATTTTAATAGATATGTTTCGAAAATGTTGTCTTCTGCCGAATCAATTCTTTGAGTTAAACCACTTTTCAAAACGAATGTTTCATGCTCAATTCGGTGGCATTTTCTTTCATTGCTCAACAAGACTGAGTTGCTTGGGATTTTTCAAAACTGTGGAAATTACATTCTCAGTGACCGGAAAAATAACAATTTCAATAATTTTAATTTACTTATTGAACCCACCCTCTGATTGTGAAATAGTATACGGTAAGAGACATAGGATGATGAACACGGAGGGAAGTGTTCTCCAGTTAACATAATTCAGTGCGTGAGAGGCGGAGAGCTTAAAGACCTGGGGCAGGAAATGACGCAGCAGAGTCGCAGACGACTTGGGACTTAGAAATGCTGTAGGGAAACTGTGGGGGATCCTGAATGAAGACAGGTGGATCTGCTGTACAAATGGCATTGCCGCGGCCCGAAGGCTCCCTAGCACTCCGAGGAGTGCGATTGTGCGCTGGGGGGAGAGCGTGAGTGGACAAGAGAGGGCAGCGGGTGACACTCCCCTGGCTCCAAATGTCCCGAGAGAATTGGGGAGGATGTTCCAAATGCGGCAGGGTGTGGATAGAGGAGAGGCACCCATATACCTAAGAGGAGGAGGTAATAGGTAGTGGTGGAACTTGAATTGGTCGTGGAGCCGTTGGGGTGAATATCAACACGAACACTAAGGAAGGTAATGCCTACGTTAGGTACTCATATTACTTTGGTTATCCACATCCAGCTATTTCTGTGAGCCATCTCGAAGGTTGCAAAGTTCGAATTTTCTCTAGAACATTTTCATATTCAAAACGATTTTCATTCATATCATTTTTTGAAACCACGAAGTTTACTCAATTATTTAGTGGTGTGTGTGTGTGTGTTGTTACTCATTACCAACTCACAAGAGCAAAGTACTTAAACCTTCATTGAAGTTCAAGGACATTTGCCATCTTTGGAGGCAGAGGTTGGGTTCTTTGTACACGGAGGTAACTTTAAAACATTGACTAGTCATTGCGAGGCAGCTCTGTATTAATGATATTCTACATAAATTTAAGGAAGATAATGGAATCTTATCGTAATGTAGGTTGGATGGGATTTTGGCAATAACAAACTATATATGTTGACCACGTACAGCTGCGGGCAGTATCAGTCGGTGACAGACAATGGAGCCAGCGGCGGGCAACGGCAGGCAGTACGGGCGGTGGCGAGTAATTGCGAGCAGTGGTGGACAGTAGCGCACTGGGATGGACAGTAGCGGATTGTGGAGGGTAGAGGCGGACAGTGTTCAAGCCGTCGCGCATCTTTTTTTAATTTTTTTTACGCGTTGCGGATAATGGCAAGCCGTCACGGGTGGTGGGCAGAGACGTGCAGAGGCGGGCTGTAGCGAGCGATGGTGGGCGGTAGCGAGCAGGGGCGTGGAGCGACGGCAGGCGGAAGGGTGGGCGACGACGAACCAAATCCTGTTGTTTCCCCCTCCCCCCTCGCCCCCTCGGTTTCTGGTTTCATTAGGCGCGGGCGGCGCGGCGTGCCTGCCGAGAGTTGGCCGCCTCCTAATTTGCCCTCGGCGGCGTCCCAAGGGCCCGAGGCGTCTCCCTCCGAATTAGCCATTCGATACGCGCAATACACCGCGCTAATATTGCGTCTTACTTCGCTATTGGTAAAAGCTCTCTCTCTCTCTCTCTCTCTACCTCTCTCTCTACCTCTCTCTCTCTACCTCTCTCTCTACCTCTCTCTCTCTACCTCTCTCTCTCTACCTCTCTCTCTCTACCTCTCTCTCTCTCTCTCTACCTCTCTCTCTCTCTCTCTCTCTCTCTCTCTCTCTCTCTACCTCACCTCTCTCCTCGGACGATTTATGAAGACGGAAGATGTCTTTAATCATCTGTAATTGTGTTGCATGAATGGAATGATGATTATCTTGGGGGAGAGGGATTTTGAACGATGGCTGTGCGTGCTCCATGTAATATTCACGAAAATTATTACCAGACGCCCGCATTCAAGGCATCAACTTGATTTTTATTATTAAAACGAAAAGGCAATCTTACAAATTAAAAAGTTTTTCTTGATACTTCCGTAGCGGAAGAAATTTATAACGAGATGTTCCAGGAAAGAGGTAATGCGATATTTAAACTGATGAAGTGTTAAAAATGAAAAGGAAAAACACATTTTTCTCTGCTCTGTCGAAGAAACGGGTCATAAATGTTATCATTATTTGAACATCAGTTTTCGTAATCTGTTTTATGTTATTAGTAATGGATAACGCGTTGTTCAAATCTTTGGAGAGAAATTTTTTTTAGTCGTAACACTTGTCTCAGTGAATTTATAGTTCCATTGTAGAGTGAAAATGTTCTTATGTAAAAGGAGATGTGGTATTTTACACGCAATATGATAGTTATTTTCTATTTTATTAATTTTTTACTGTTTATATAATGCTCCTATTTTGACAAATAATCCACCTCTAATCTCACTGTGTCACCTGGATAAAAGATGCTATTAGGTATTTATGTGCATGCAGTAATATTTGTCATGTGATGAACGACAGAAGTTGTACTTCTAAAAATAAGAACTTTATGAGTATAGTTTTAATTGAACGAATTAAAATGTTACATTTTGCTTCAGAAATTAATGTGTATAAATTTGTAAATAATCGAAAAAATCAACTTAAAGTTAGTACTTTTTTCAAAGAGAAATGTAATTTGTTTATATTACTTAGATTTGTATTTCATTATTATTTAACTGAAATGACATTATATTCTGTTGGTTATTAAGTTACGTACGATTTGGTGTATTTAATTTACCAAACTTTTTACGTTTTTAATTTTGTGTCAACTTGATTTTCTTAATACAATAAAAAGACATACAAAGTTATAAATTTCTCTCTACACATCCGTTATGGAAGAAATTTGAGTGTTTAAAAAATGCTGTTAAAGCAAACAAAAGTACTTACAGCGTGTTTTATGTTTCTGTGTTTCAGGGGTGGCGGGCACCGTAGAGGTGCACTTCGAGAACAAAGATGGCGGCTTCTTCCTCAAGCACACGCCGCGCCAGTACTACCAGGCCGTGGCGGACCTGGCGGGCGGCGGCGGCGTGGGCGGCGGGATGGGCGAGCGGCGCGGGGGCGGCGGCGGGGGCGGCGCCGGCTCCTCCGTGCTCAGCGTGGACCGCTTCACCGTCTTCCAGACCTCGCAGCCCATCTCCATACGCGCCACCTACGGGCCCTTCTCCACCAAACAAACGGTGAGCGCTCTGGGCATTTGCGCTTGTTGCTATGATACGTATAAAGTAAGAACTTGGCTAACCGGTTCTTGTCTACATTGTCCAAATTAATAAAGACCGAAGTACGAAAATCACTTCGAACTTTTCCAGATGGTTAGCCATCACAACGTGGATAGAGTTGGTGAAGTACGTACGAGAAATAGCAGAAATGGGATAAATAGCGAGTAGACTACTAAGCTAAGTATCCAAGGCAAGAGAGGCAAAGTGTGTGGTTTAGTGAATATCTACGTCAGTCAAATGTTTCTATTTATTCCATATCATTAACTTGACCTCATTATATCTGAGTGGATGCTTTGATTTGCATTTTCGTGCTCGTGACGACGCTACAGCTTTCGGCCTTTGTAATTTTCATAAAACAACCTTCGATAAGTGCAACGCATTATACCCTACTCTACTGTTAACCAAAATATTTTTTGCTTACACTCACGACGTGTCAACATAATTTCCGTACTTCAACCGGCAACCCGTGTCTGATTCCAAAATTAGGACGAAGTCTTTAATGATCCGTTTGTAATCACTCATACAGTTTTATTTACACGCCTGGAAAATGACATTTAATCTGGTATACCTAACGTTAGCAGTGTTTCGTTCTTTATCCTTAAGAGCTGCACTTCAAAAAGATCAAAACGGTTGTGGGCATTGATGTTGATGTTTTTTTAACATTGCTTGATCTCTTGGAGTCGTGGCTGTACAGTGTCTATAGAGCATCCCCGATATGTGCTTCATTGTCGGAAATATCGTATTTGGCACCTTCTGTGAGTGTTCTGCATGACTAACTATTTTTAGCTTCCATTGTTGCTTCCAGAGATTTGAAACAACATGCTAATGGTCATTAGCACCATTTTTGAAGTTGAGTATTTTCAGTTATATCTTAAAAAATTATATTTTATCCCTGTGCCATAATATGAAATAACAATATTTAAAAATCGATGTCTCCGAACTTATTTTAAGAGAAAAATTAGTTTCAAATAATTCAACAAATTATATTAAACCGTTTCTTCAGTATGGAAAGAATTTGTTTTATGGAGAAAATACCTCCTAATTATCATACCTCCTGAAAAATAAAGATTTATGTTATTATAAAAATATTATTTTGCATACTGGACAGTTATAATTTCATTTGTTTGAGTACGACGGTTATACACTAATATTTCTTAACTGATGTGAAACTTATTTAAAATATTATCAACTCGTTTATAGTGAACTCAGATGTAGTGAACTTTCAGTTGTAGTGAATTAAAGTCACTGTCTAGACTCACACTATATTAGAAAATGAAAGTAAACGACTTGGCTATAACGAACTATCTACTCGTCAGCTTCAGTGAACACAGAAAATTCAATTATCGAGGAAAAAATACTTTGCATGAGGACATCGAATTCCAATAACAGTATTAATTTGCAAGTGGATAGTCTCATTAGTTATTTTGTTAGCATTTACGCTGAATGAAACGGATTGAGGGAACAGGTCACTGGGTAAATTGTTTTAGCTCGTTTATGGTGATACAGTTGAGTGTGAAGACTTAATGGACGTGGACTGTAAGATGAAAGCTAGTGAAATTCCACCTGTGTAGAATGGGATTTCACTTCAATGGTGTATCTTTAACGCTGTGAAAAAGATGTTCCGACAAGGCAAGAGTCATTTAAGTCTATCAAGACTATTCTAAACTAGTTTGTGTGTGGATACTATAGAATCAAACGTTGAGAAAGCAGGGGCCCTGTCGAGAACAATTTGCAAAAAGTATTAACAAAAAAATGTACGAAACAAACAGTACAAAAATATTATTTTAAGGCTCATAAATATATTGCAATTCATTGTGATTCGATTCAGTATTCTCGAATTCGTAGTGACTAAATATTTTACTGAGACTTCATAACAACAAAACCAATCATCAAGGAAAAAGTTTATTTTCACATTTTCGGATAGAGGGAACTTCTGAGATAATGAGCCAACACTGTTGGTCATCAAAGGCTAAAAAAAAAGTATCTAAGAAAACACATTTATTTAAAATAATAACGTAACTACTCGAATGTGGCGTCTCTGACTCTTTAATCTCTCTTAGAAGTGTTTTAATAGTTCAGCATAAAAAGAAATTTTAAGCACAATTCCTTAGCTCTTTAATTCTCAAAGGTAGTTTGTGGAAAATTGTCAATAAGAAGTAAAATTAAATTATAATACTGTGGTCGCAGCTTCTTTGTTGGATGTTCTTTCGGACTATGGCCACCCCCAAGAACTGAAGTACCTAATCGGAACACTCCCAGAAGAGTTGTTTTGAAAAATGCATACTTACATATCAGGAGGATTGTTAAAGAAAATATGTATACAAAAACGCTCCTATTCTGCAACATTCGGTTCCATATTTACATATTTACATTAAAATATAATTTCATAGGGGATTTCCCTATAGCATTATCGTATATGCCTCATATGACAAAATTATCCCTCAAAACTCTAATTATTCTACAAGATGGTAAAACTGTCGGTTAACTTTATCCTTCCAAGTGACCCAAGCTCTACAGCGCATTCTGTAAACAGCGGCGTCGGGAGATACAATTTCGAGCGACGTGCGTCATTCATTGCCTGGGTGCCGTGGAACGCGTATGTAGCCTCACTGGCGTCACATTTAACTGTCATGACAGGTTCATTGTTAAGCCCTATCGGAGCTCTCTTGGTGTGGCAGTAGCGATTTGGAACGAAAGGTTCAATGGGTGACAGGCGGGGAGGAGCACGAATCCGTCTTTCATGTTAATCGTGCATTTTATTCGTTATTCGGGAATGTACTATTTCTGTGAGAATATCATGTACAAAGTTTTCCCCATAAATTCTTATTTTCCGACACTTGTCATGGAAATGAGTCGTTGTCTAATACTGTTATTTTAACGATCTAAAATACCCGTTATCTAATAGCATTGCAGGTTGCGTTCATAGCAATTATACTCTCTCACAGAAAACTATTCCGGAAGTAGTCAAAAAGCTCTGTAGAATACACATCATTCAATAAACTATAAAACTTGATATTATAATTATTCCAGATTTTATTGCAATGTTTGGGTTAGCACATATTAATATCATGTGCTAATAAAAAAATCATGTAGTTGTTTGAAAATGTTCGAAAATTACTTTTATTTTTAATGTACATATTTTAATGACAGTAGTACTCATTTTAACTTTTTGTACATTTCATTTCATAATAAGGTTTAACTATCTTCAGACTTATGCATAATGTTCTAAGGATTCGTGTTACGCCGGAAAGATAGTAATTATAGTAATTCACAGCATTTCACTACTGTAGGCACTTTGAAACACTAAAAAAACGTTTTCTTTGTAGGATCTTACAGAATTTTCCAGGTGATTTCAACTCATTTATGTAGAGAGAAATCAGAAGAGCCATTAATTGTATATGTAGGTACCTAAAAATTCTCCATAACCGCATTTTAGATGATATCCGCCAAAAGAAGCACGTTTCTTGATTGTTCTCTTAGAATGTTCTCTTGGGATCCGAAAAATGGTTGGTTCCCCAAAAGGAGACCGAGGCGCGACGAATGACACGTCATTTGCATCTATTGGGGGAACGGAAGGGGACTGATCATGTGTGACGGACGGAGGGACGGACAGTAGGACGGACGAATGGACGGACGGAGATTCCCAGGTTACTCTTACGGATACGGATACATATTTAAAATGTTGTGACCCTGATAATATATCAAATATAACATTATTTCCAAATTAGTTTTTCTATTTAATGTTGCCTCTGAATTTCTTTGGCATTTCCAGTTACTTAAATGTCAAAAATTGTTCAACTCTTTTTATATGAAGTTTATTTTTAAGTTATTTTGGTTCGTAACAATATAATACAGAACTTTACATACATATGAACTTCTGTAAATCAGTGTTTGACGAAAATACATCAGAATTTGGCGTGATAAGAAACTACAACGCAGTAATGCATGTAATATGAATGCAATACACATGCATGAGAGAAACAAGCAAATCATTTAAATTGCCCCGAGCACTATAGTCAAATACACCAGTATGTTCCGAAAGTGGAAACAGAACCACGGATTAGTGATGATATCCAATTCCTGTATAATCTCCCAAATAATATTGCATGGTCTAACCTCAAAGAGCTACTCGTAGTTCTATTATTCCCTCCCTGGTATACGTTTAAATCCTTTCTCATTTCGTATTGACGTGAAACATTGGGTTTCAGGTATTGCCTAGGAACGCTTAAAATCTATTACGGGCTTTGACATACAGTAAGTGCGTTTTACAATGAATTCAAATTGTCGAGGCGATATGAAACTGTTATCTTTTATTGGTTTAACTGTAAGCGCCATAAATGTGTTATTAGAGGTATTTGCAATTAAAACCGGTCTTTGTCCGATCCTCTGCCAGTGGTCGCTTCTGTACATATACATTTGATAAGTGGTGAACTCAGCAGAAACGGATAAAAACTCTTTCAGTATTTTAAGCTACAATTTATGGGATGGGTTCAGAAAATGTCGAGGTGTGATTATTATTTTGTTCGTATTTTAACAAATAATTTCGAATACATAGGATATTTCATTATAATTGTATATAATATTTTATCTAAAATTATTAATTTAATGAAATAGATAAGAAAAAAGTAATTTATGAAACGAAACTATGAAAAACTATAATTATACTTCTTCATATGTTTTTAAAAATTCTTCTCGTTTGCAATGCTAAGTCTGCGATTCTTTTTATTTCTGACTTCACCCCTTGGGGAGTGGTGTCGTAAACTTTTCTTAATGTGATGGTTAAAATAATAGGGCGAGCTACTCGAGGGGGCGACGCAGCTGCCCCAAGGCAGCGACTGACTCGAGCACTGATCTCTTGTTGCCTTTTCCGTTTTCGACAAAAAATCACTTTTGAGACGATTCTGGAGATAGAATATTACTTTAATCAATAATTTAATAAATGTTTGTGTAGTTAACTTTAACAAAATGAGATGCGCTTCCTTTTCTAACAATTTACTCTACGCAGTTAACTCAATCAAAAGAAACACTTTTTATTAATAAATAGTTCTGTGATCGTTTAGTAATGGCGTTCAATATCAATATTAATAGTACACTAGAAACAAAAGTAATAACTTTGGACAGTTATTCTGAAAATATACAGATCCTTTCCTAATTGTGTTCGGCTCTCAGTTCAATGAATTGAGGACAGCTCAGTAACAATTTAAAACTATTTTTGTCAACTCTAGCAGCCAAATAACAAACACTGCTAAACTATTAAACAGATACAAAATTAATATATTGTGTAATAACTAATTACACAAAAACAATTATCAAAACTTAACTAAACGTATACCAAGTTTATAAATAACTAAGGTGTGTAACACAGCGTTTACAATTTGCATGTGAGATTTAGAATAAATGACATATTTTAGAAAGACCTTTCGTAAAGAATGGACGAAGGATGGTAAATATATTATAATATTCATATTTTTATGTCCCGCAATTGATATTTGATTAATAGTATTTGTGAGAAGCTAAAGATAACGACCTATTTAAAAAAATTAACATTAAATACAATCAATTACTACAGGCGTTATTAAATATTCTTATTTAGCGCATAAATTAATACCGATACTTCTGCACTTTGTATTAATTTACATTTTAATGATCTAATCTAATGCACAATTAATGTTCATGCAAAACATCTATAATTATTTTATTATTATTATGTGTAAATATAGCATATGTATTATACATACCAAATTTCAAAAATTGTTATCATTATAAATTTAGTGAATTAGAACTATCTGCGACGTCTTTTTGAAATACAATTTACTTCTCGATTATTACTTGAAATTTTCCGTACGCTGCTTCAGCATCTGGACGGCTACATCTCTTTCTGGTCAACAATGGGTAAAACGGGATTGGCGCTTGATAGAGTCATTGAGCTGAGAAAACGCCGCGCAGTAAATCCGGACGAGCAAAATTGGATGTTTGTTCTCGCTTCCAGAAACCTGTCGTGTTTAGTCTGACCTGTTCGATTTCTACTCGATACTTTTACTTGACCTTCCGCAGCATGTGCCAGTGCAGTACTACTTTCAGTATTCAATAGAAGTTCTGACGCCACGCCATCCGGCTGCACGGTTCTTCTTCATGTCCTTGTCACTAACCCATGTATCTCGCGTCTTCGAAATTCCATATGAAAGTATATATTGTGTTTATACCCGCCTTGTGTCGTTTCAGAAAATATACAAATTAAAAATAACCCTTAAAGAAATTTACCATTTTATGGTGTCAACATTCGAAACAATTTTGTTGAAATTGGCTTCAAGTTCATGAATCCTAAAACATAGTATATACATGTTCGTGTCAAAACAGTGGAAAATAAAAACGTGACGTTCAAAAATCTTAAAAATACCCGTTAGTAATTTTGTACTGTTATTGTCAACTTAACACAATCAAACAGAAGAACAAGAAACCTTCATTCCTAAAAGAGAACTAACGATCCGCCATTCATCCATTAATAACAACGGAATCAAATTATTAACATATTGCTGATGATGTTGATAACTTTTTTTAAATACATGATTTTTTTTAATAACAAGATTTTTGCAAATGCATCAACATAACGTATCATATTTGATACTCTATCGGAAATATCTTAATTTATTAAAAATTATTGATACCCAGATGACATTTGTTTCGATAAAAATATCAGTTTTAGCTAAAGATTACCTATGAGTTCACTTTTTAAAGGAAATGCCGTTTCTTGTTTAAATGTTTTTATAAGACGTTGTTATTACCAAAACTATTGAACGACACTCGGCCGTTATCCGTAATAATAGTCTTAGTTGGTTATAATCCTCGTCTATTGCTTCGATCTCCGAAAACTATCGAGACTATCTGTGCGCCCAACATTTAGCTCCAAACTCTTTTATTTAAGGCTTTTCTCTGACTCCTTGGTTCCGTTATTTTGATCGCAAGACGCAGCAACATCAAGAAGTAGACACGGTTATTTTGTTTCGTGATGACAATATCGTATTTCTTTGCCACTATTGTGCGAACAGTAGCAATTTGTTGGTTCTAAAGCATTATACGCAGTCCAACAGACGTCATCGGTTTTGGTGAGTGTACTTTGGAGTATTTGTTTGGAACTTCTAGAGCGTTACAGATCTGCCATTGGAGGTAATTACACATCTTATCGTGTCTTCTCAAGTATTCTGTTTTTGCTAGGATTGAACAAGCTGAGACTATGTAATCAATGGTTTGTACACGTTCCTGGCAAACGCAGCATTTATCATCTTGGGATATTTTCAGAACCGCTTTATCTCTTTTGTTTCGCGAAGCGGCCATGATAGGGCCACGAGATACGTGCATTTCAGCGGGTCTCGGTCGTGAATATCGGCGTACGTGCACGTTACTTTCTATTGGGAGGATCAGCATTTCAACGCCGATTCCATTTTTAGTTTGCCCTGGGGAATGGCGTGAATTTGTGATGATAACGAACGATGAAATAGACATCCAAGTATACACAGACACACACAACACAACCATGCCCGAGCGGGTCTCGAACCCGCAATCCTTTAGTCCGAGACCGCCACTGCACTACTGCCTGAGTGATTTTGGCCTTCGGATCAGCATTATTATTATTATTATTATTATTATTATTATTATTATTATTATTATTATTATTATTATTATTATTATTATTTATTATCATTATTATTATTACTATTATTATTGTTGTTGTTGACCTAGGGCTTTGTTTTGCGCCGGCAGGTGCCCGCGCGCTACATCGTGCCGGACCCGCTGGACGCGCTGCCGCTGCCGGACCCGGCGGCGCGGCCGTCCAACGCGTCGCTGAGCGCGGCGTCGCCGTCTGCGGCGGCGGCGGCCGCGGCGGCGCTGCTCGACCTGGACCTCTCGGCGGCGGCGTCGCACCACCTGGACATGAGCGCGCACGTGGTGCGCGGCGCGGTGGCGCGCGACTCGCCCGTGCTGCGCGTGCTGTTCCACGCCGGCGCCGACCCCGGCGCGCGGCGCCGCCTGCTGCTGGGCCGCCACCGGCGCGTGTGCATCGTGCTGCACGCGTCGCTGGGCGAGCGCGCGCCGCTCACGGCCGCCTGCAGCCCCGACGGGGAGGACGGCGTGTGCCTGGCGCAGGTGACGGTGCCCGCGGCGTGGTGGGCGCCGCTGCCGCCGCCCGACGCCAGCGGCAGGCCCGGCAAGCCCGTCAAGACGCCGCAGCGGCTCGTGCAGGTGGGCGGGGCCTCTTCGTTGCCACTTCAAAAGACCTCTGTTTAGCTAAAGCCAAAGATCTGCGAGCTCGATGATCCATGACCAACCAGGAAAGCCGCACCACGCGTTCGACCCAAAACATAAGACATACATACATACATACTCTAATGCGTTTGGTTACCTCATTTCAGTTCAAAAGCTAGTCTGGACAATAACTGCGTTGACACATTAGAGGTTCATTCCACGTCAAAACGTACAAATATGAAAAAATTGTCTTTGGTGTTCCATACTGTAAATCATTTTATTTTCTGAGAAGAGTATAAGCAAAACTACGACATACGTGCTTTTCATTTTTTTCGGGACTATATTAATTTTCAAAATTTGCGAAAAAGTACTCGCATTGACAAAGTTAATCACTTTTAACTCGTGTTGTTGACAGAAATTTAATATTTTGCGACATTGAAGAACAAAATATGCTCTTTCATTTGAAATGAATGTTCTGTTACAAGTAACTGAATATGTAGATATTTCATCATCTTATGTGTTTATAAAAGAAAAATTTGAATTTACCAGGCGAATAAATAGGAAAAGGAACGCATTCACAAGAAACTAGACTATACCAATCCATAGAGGAGTTTGTGAATAAGTTACACATGAACGAATCTGCAGATCTTAGGCAATATTGTAAATATATAATTGGAAGTTTTGAATTTTATAAACCCAAAAACACCTTGTAACAAACAGATATTTCCAATATTTCGAGTAGTTCTGCAAGAACATGAGTGTTAATGCCAATGTGTGCTGGGCGCAGGTGGCGTACTCGGTGCTGGAGCCGGGCACGGATGGCGACGGCGGCGGGGGCGGCGGCGGAGGCGGGGGCGGGAGCGCGGGGTGCCAGCCGCGGGTGCAGATCCAGCCCGTGACGCCGCTGGGCACGGTGCCGCTGGCGCCCGCGCGCGCCGCCTACCGCGAGCTGCGCCTGGACGAGGCGCTGTCCATGCTGCTGCCGCACGCGCCGCTCTACCCGCTCTCGCGCCTGCACGTGCCCGTCTTCCTGCAGGCGCCCGCGCCCGGCGCGCGCCGCCACTACGCCGTCTCCATGTTCGTCATCCGGTGAGTGCCCTGATGTTTCCTTCACTTATTACATTTTTCTTTTGCACTGTTACTCTTGGATTCTACATCTCTCGGACTGGGTCTCTTTCTCTCTCTCTCTCTAGAATTGTGGCACTCTCTCACTTGTTTCTATCTCTCTCCTCTCTTCTATTTCTCGCTCTCCTCTCTCTTTCTCTCTCTCCTCTCTCCTATTTCTCGCTCTCCTCTCTCTTTCTCTCTCCTCTCTCCTATTTCTCGCTCTCCTCTCGCTCTCCTCTCGCTCTCCTCTCTCCTATTTCTCGCTCTCCTCTATCTTTCTCTCTCTTCTCTTTCTCTCTCTCTTCTCTTTCTCTCTCTTCTCTTTCTCTCTCTCTTCTCTTTCTCTCTCTCTTCTCTTTCTCTCTCTCTTCTCTTTCTCTCTTTATCACTCTCTTTCTCTCTCTCTTTCTCTTTGTCCGAAGAGCACTGGTCAGAATTTCTATATTCTCCAAACTGGTCGTCAGAATCTCGAGATTGCTAATCATAATTTCGAAGTTGGCATCTTGAATCTCCATTGGCAGATGGAATGTCAGAATTCTCTGGATTCACAGGTAAAATTTAGAAATTTCTAGTCATAATCTCGAATAGAAGTTGAAATCTTGAGATTCTCGAGATAGCTAATGGTAATGAAAGGAGGTCTATGCCGTCTGTAAACCTGAGCAGCATATGTCGCTTAAGTGTGACTACTAGAGAATCCTAATTAAGGATTGTCTCTCGACATGTCATGACAGTATGTTTTCGAAACGAAATACAAATTGTACATCGCCGTATTTGAGATAATTTTAATACAAATGTGACATACGTCATTGAAATTGTCAGGGTTCAATGAAAAAACATCTGATAACTCCCTTCGCGTCAAGAGTGCTTGTTCCTGCAGTGCCCTATTATGGATTATTATCCTTTTGCTTTGCTTATTGCAAAATGACACCTCAAAACACCTTATTTCAAAGTGTGAGGTTCGAGCTTTCTGTAATCGGTGGTATACCAAATCCCTAATTTCACAAAAAAATATTTTTGTAAAATTTTTATATGAATCGAGAAACAATTTATACTGAAAATGAATGAATAATTTATTATAAATGCTATTCATAAATAACAGTTTCTTTGATATTTCTGAAATGCAGCACTAAATAAGTAATAGCAAAGGAACGCAATTAATTTGTCGTATATTTTTGCACTCAGTTTCGAATGAAATGAGTTTTTGATGGTGATGATTTCCTTTGAATGAATCATTCCTCAGAATGTTTCCAACAATTACAGCCGCTATCTTGCAGAAAACAATGAAACGTCTTACAACGACTCTTATTTAATCATGAGAACATTTTCAAACCTCTTGAGAATTTGTGTAATTGTTATTTGCCAGAAGCTAATTAATTCCTCGAAAATTAGCCACTCTCGGGAGATTCCCTGAATTTGCAAGTCTTCCAAATTCGCCTCTCGATCGTCGGACGAAAATGGAATCTTCCGGTCGACAGGTTTTACAGCGCACCTGGCGGCTGCGATCGCTTCGCTTCGCCGCCGCCACCACCGCTTGCTCCACGCCACTCCCCTCCACGCAAATGCGCCACGCCATTTTCCGCGTAATTCGCTCGTAATCGCGGCCGAACACAGCGGAATTTAATTCCGAATTCTTTAAGGTCCCGCTCGCTAAGAGAGCGCAGCGCCGCGGGTACGGAGCGGAGGCTTAGGCGGTGGCCCTCGCGCTTTTGTCCCTCCGGCGGCTCTTGGCTGCCCTACGCCTCTCCCAGCGGCAGTTCTGGCCCCGCCGTTTCCTCTTTACACTTCTCGCTGAGGTGGCTGAGGGCGTAAACTGATGTCCCGACGGTTGCGGTATTATAGACACTAGCTAGATCTAACTCTGCCACTGACTGGAGGAAAAGTGTCGTGACCGGCCGCTCTGATCAGTGCTTTTACGTGTTTTTGTATGAACACCAGGTGAATGCCGGAGCAGTGCTCTAAGGCGCTCCCCCTCGGAATCATGAATCACACTTAAACATGTTTACTCTCAAGTGTACTACGATAAGGAACATGTCGGGAGAGCAGTCTAGAGGTTAGAGCATTTCCCGGCTAGAGCGGTCCCTCGCTGGTGGGAGATATCTGGATGGGGAAATCCCAGCAAGTTGACATGTAGATCGACACCGGATCTCACCATTCAGTGGGGGAAAAAACACTCATGTAACATCATGTCATAAACACTCAAGTAATATGTGATAAAATGTGCACTACACTTAGGAGGCTAACGAATATAGCAGTTGACGCGCCCGTGAACACCAAAATCAATCAGTCACTCTTACATTTCCCGTTACTTCTTCAAATTCTACTTCCTTTAATTTTCTTACCTTGTCGTTTGCTATTTATTCCTGCACATTACCTCACCATCGCCTTTTCATCCCCCGCAGTTTTTGTCCTCCACTGTTTTCTCCCCTTCGCAATATCCTTCCTCTTTATCGCTTCTCCCACAGTTTCCTTCCCGCGTCGCTGCCAGTTGTTTGCCCCGAACTCGCCATTCCTTCTGTTCACACGCCTCGCTACTTCCACTCCGCCGGTAGTTTTCCAGCCCCCAGTTGACTTCAGTATGCGGCAGCCTGTTAATTTGCCCCTCAGCTTCTCCTGACATCATTGCAACTCCCCTGTCGGTCGGTGACATGATCGCTTCTGACCTCCAATTCACGATATATCCGATACCATATCATTACTACTTATTGTGAGTCTGACTTCCCATCTTGTACTGGTCCGCCTTTGTTGCCGTCATATTTCCGACCTGTTCTGTTGCCCTAACATTTTACCGTTCCGTTTACTGCAAAAATGCACAATTTCACCCTATCTCATCACACTCTGCGTTAATGTCCACCTTACTGCATCTCCATTAACTCTCCCAACACAAAGACCTCTTACTAGACCAGCACCACTTCCTAGGATCCTGCTCCTAGCTGATTTGCTCTCCCTGTTTCCACTATCTGGTTAACTTCGTCCTTCCTTTGCCTCCCTCTTTCACTCCTTCACTTCCTCATCATTCCCCTATACCATTTTCGCCTTCCTTTATATCTTCACCACTGTTTCTTCCGTTACTTTCTCCCCACCGCTTTTGCCGCCTGAGTCAACTCCGCCGCCCTCGCCGCCACCCTCTCCGCCTAGCTGGAGCAAAAGCGACGGGTAATTAAATTTGTTTTCAACGTCGACTCGCGTGACAAATTGCCCGGTTTCATTGCGCTGGAAAAATGTCATAGGGCCTATTTCACTAAGTAGCGTTATCAAGATGCCACTGGCCGCTTCTTTGTCTCGTCGCGTTTTTAATCTCATAAGACAAATGCCCGCGCCGAGCGCGGCGCGCGCTGGAGGAGGGGGAGGAGGGGATATGTGGGGACGAGGGGAAGGATATTAGGGCGGAGAGCGAGGGGCACGGGACGCCGAGGACGCTGAGGACAAACATGTAGGATGAGGGGACGGGACTCATCAGTCGGCAGAACGTCTGAATGGGAGACATCCTCTGTTGAAGACAAAAGCCCGACCCTCCAAGGTATAAGAGCACCTTGCGGCTCCTGGTAATAATTATCATCATCACCTGGAATATTCTCCTAAGGAGTAATTGCCCCTGTCTTGTGAGAGCTGTTGAACAAGAATACCATTCTCTGACGGCAGTAAATGCATTCAATGAATACATATTTGAGTAGCAGAAGGTTGGTAAGCCACTCAGAATAATCAATGATTAAATTATTCCGGTACGACAGTCAAAATTAATCTCATGTTGATGATACTTTCATTTACGCTTTTTAATTGAGCATTCGTGTCCTACAGTTACGCAAGTTAATGTCCGCTTATTTTGTAATATAAATACATACGGATGCGTTAATCTCGTACGTATGAATTAATATCCATATAACTAAATTACCACCACTTACTGATCCACTAATTCTGATGTTAGTTCATACGGTTGATACGCTAATCGTTTCGTTCTTCGAAAACATTGAAAAGTAGCAGGAACTCGGGACATCAAGAATAAATGGTTTTAGATGTTAGGTGAACAGAACAAAATTATTCCCATTAGATCCAAGTCCTCATGTAGTGTGAAATAGATTATTGATTCCATTATTCTAGAACGCATTCCAAAAACCAATATTAAACATATATTCTTTGTTTAAAAGTCGTAGCGTTTTATATTATTATATAATTATATATGATGTAATTGTGTGAATTTTCGCCATCAGTTCTCAGGATCGTAAAACATAATTTACGTACGAATACCGGTGAAGGAGATTGCAAACACATTGTGGTCAACATATTTTCAGCTCTTATACCTTTAATATCTGACTACTCTCATATAAGCTCCACAAACTAACTCATTCGTAATGAAACACGAAGAACAATTGTCTTTCCATCACTGGTTTTCACCAAAAGTTTGGAGTTGTCCCGCAAACCAGCCCCCCCCCCTACACGTTCGTTCAATGACGCAAGGCGAAATGAATAGCTTATAGCTGAAGGCACAGGGAGGCGGTACGACGGGGGAGAAGGCTCGATAGCAGAACAAGAACAGCGGTGGGACGGACGGCTGGACGGGCGGCCGGACAAAAGGCAGACGGCGCGTGTTGTGTGTAGGTGGTGGGGAGGAGCAGCTCTTACAAAAATTGAAGGGCCGCCCCCGAGCGCGTCGTCAGACGGCCGCGGCCTTGCGTAACCGCCCGGGGAGGCCGCGCGGGCCGCTTGCCGTGCGGGCTGCACAATTCTCTTCGCCCTCCCACGCGATAGCGGCAGCCTCGACGAGAGCACGGACTGGCAAATGTTCAGCGAAGTAATTATTGAAATTATGAAAGTTTCTAGGAATATAATTTTAAATTCATTTCATTCAGTTGACTTTATATGCTGTTTACTTGTGTGTTCGAAGAAGAGTAAATGAATTGAAAATACTGTCCGAGGGTGATTTAAATGAAAACCATAATTATTTTTTAAACATTATTTATTGTACAC